CCCGCAGATCATTGACATCAATACGGCAAAACATTAAACCAGCTGGCTTGCATGATTCGAATCGGCACGAGTCGAGTGCAACGAGGTGGACAGACCAACAACACACGAGCGGCGAATCCCTGGCCGCGCCCAGGGACCACAGCGGCGGCGCATGTTGGGACCGGGGCCCCCGAAGGCCTTCACGAGGCTTCGGGAAGCTCCCGGCCGTCCCCGAGACGCCTCCAGGAAGCCCCCACGGGCTCCCGGACCATGCAAAATCGATCCCTTCCAGAAGGCCCACGAGTCCCCCAAAAACGTCCCAAGAAGCTCCAAGAAGGCACCAAAAGGGTCCCGGGAGGTTGAAATCGTTCCATTGAAAGACGTGTATTTTCAGTATCTGCACGCGGCGGGCTACCTCAGCGTGCACCATGACCCCTAACGCCGCCAAAACCGCCCCAACACAGCTCAAGAAACCCGCAAGAGAGCACGAAGACTGCCACGAGGGCCCCAAGAAGGCCCAAGACGGCCCGCTCTAGAGGTACCCAGCGCCGAAGAGGGCCTCGAGGCCCTCAAGAGCTCCCAAGAGGCCCCCAGGAAAGCTCCAAGATGCCCCGAACAGGCGTTCCGAGCTGCTCTTGGGGGGGTGAGTCAGGGGGCATGCGCAAGCTTTGGAAGTGCATCGGTGGCAGATATGCGAGCATAGCAATCATAACACAACAACCATAATTTCTCCTTCCTCTCCCCCTCCCTCCTCCCCGCTACGTCCCTTTCCCTTTCCCATCGTTTCTCCTTCATGTCTGGTATTTCAATGATGCTGACCTCTCGAGGGCTTCCCCAGAGATCTTGTGCGACCCTAGAAGGCCTCTTGGGGTGATCTTGGGTGCTCTTGCTTGGGGGCCTCCAGAGCCAACTTGAAACAGTTCACCTGGCGAAGGACCCAACCATCCGCAGTTGTGAACAACGCTGTTGTGGGTATCGTCTTTGATAGAGCTCCCCATGGGCCGGTGCCATTGAGGCCTCCAGTGGAGCTCCCTATGGGGCCACGAAGCGCACGTATTGGGTGGGGGAGGCGCATGTGGGCGGGTGCGTTGGGGCGCTCGGCGGGGCTCCCTGTGTGCCCGCGAAGCGCTGTATTGGGCGGGGGAGACGCATGTGAGTGCAGCCACTGGAGCACGCTTTGCTGGGTGGGGGAGAAGCGTGTGGGGCCTGAGGTGGACCTCCCTACGGGGTTGCGAATCGCCGTGCTGGGTGGGGGATATTATGTGGACACCGCCACTGGGGCCCTAGGTGAAGCTCCCTGCGGGGTCACGAAGCGCTGTGGTGGGTGGGGGGAGACGCATGTGGACACCGCCACTGGGGCCCTAGGTGGAGCTCCATATGGGGCCACGAAACATTGTGCTGGGTGGGGGAGACGCATGTGGACACCGCCACTGGGGCCTTCGGTGGAGCTCCTTATGGGGCCACGAAGCGCTGTACTGGGTGGGGGAGACGCATGTGGACACGGCCAGAGCTCCCTATGGGGCCGCGAAGCGCTGCGCTGGATGGGGGGAGACGCATATGGACACCGCCACTGGGGCCCTTGGTGGGGCTCCCTATGGGGCCACGAAACATTGTACTGGGCAGGGGAGAAGCATGTGGACACCGCAACCTTAGGTGGAGCTCCCGATGGGCCCACGAAACGCAGTACTGGGTGGGGGAGACACACGTGGACAGTCACGGGGGTCTTAGGTGGAGTTCCCTGCGGGCTCACGAAGCGCTGGGCTGGGCGGCGGAGAAGCATGTGGACACCGCCACTGGGGCCTGAGGTGGACCTCCTTACGGGGTTATGAAGCGCTGTACTGGGTGGGGGAGACGCATGTGGACACCGCCACAGGGGCCCTAGGTGGAGCTTCTGCAGTGTCACGAAGCGCTGTGGTGGGTGGGGGAAAACAGATGTTGACACCGCCACTGGAGCCTTAGGCGGAGCTCCATATGGGGCTACGAAACGCTGTGCTGGGTGGGGGAGACGCATATGGACACCGCCACTGGGGCCTTAGGTGGAGCTCCTTATGAGGTCATGGAACGCTATGCTGGGTGCAGGTGGACACCGCCCCAAGGGGCCCTCAAGACGGCCCAAGAGGCCCTCAAGACGGCCCAAGACAGGGGCAACAGCGGGGATCCAAACCGACATTTCGAGCCTAGACGCCAAAAGTCCCGGGGAGGCCCCCGGGAAGGCCCCCGAAGCGCATCCCAAAAGTCCCAAGAGGTCATCCGTAGCTTGGCTCAAGCAGTTGTGGCTCAAGCCATTTGGGCTCAAGGGTGCCCTGCCCGCACCCGCTTCCTCGTGGAGGCAGCTCTTGCTTAGGGGCACCAGCGAGAGACCTCCGCCCCTGATTTTCCGGCGGTATGAGCTTCTCTGGTTTTTGTGTTAAATGTTGTAAGCAAATCCCAGTCGTGGGGCTCGCTTTCAGCTGGCCTCCGTCATATGATGATCTCAAGAAGATGTTGCAGGTTTATGCTCTGCTGACAGGCTTGGTACTGTCGATGGTTGGGGGTTGCATTTTCGAGAACTTCTCCCACATCGACAAGGCTGCCGACATCTATGGCGCCCTTTTTGGATCGCTTGAGTTGCTATTCCTGGCGACAGTCACCATCGTCTGCCTTTACATATATTTGCAGTTATACTAACGCGTTTTGCGGAGCATGAGTGGGTCGGGCCGCCTTAACCGTTTGGGCTCAAGGCGTAACGGAGGGAGCGGTCCGCGCGCGTCGTGGATGTTGCCGCTGGTGCTGGGAGGGGCGGTCGACGCGACCATCGCGTACCTCCACCGGTGCCCCGCTGCGCCGGAGTGCCCCAGCTGCTCCTTGACCTGTCCTGCCTGTCCTTCTTTCACGTGCCCTCCGCCGGCCACAGTCAGCTGCCCAGCGTGCCCCGCGCTGGTCTGCCCCGCGGTGGCGGCCGAGGCGCCGCGCGCCGCTCGTGAGGGGCGCGCGGAGGCGCCGCGCTCCTGCCCTGCCTGCGCTGCTTGCGAGCAGCCGGCGGAGCCTGAGCCGTGCGACGCCTGGCGGGCCTTCTTGCGAGGGCTGCTGGGCGGCGCCGTCGGCGGCGGGCTGCTGACGCTGCTGTTCGTGAAGGTCGTGGGCCATGGAGTGGGGGTGGCTGAGGTACGTCGGGGACGACCTGGTTCACCAAAGGTGGGTTCCCGGCCGCGTGGCGCTATCGGCTTCTGAGTATGTCGGTTCCACGCCGGACGGCGACACGTACATTGAGAAGTATGACGATCATGATAATGAAGATGTGGATCTGGTTCGGTGGAGCGCAGGTTGGAACGACGTCCCCAACGGCGTGAATCCTGCGCGGGTGTACCGCTTTCGGCAGGAGCCGACAGCGGCCGAGAAGCACGTCTTCCTTCGTGATGCTGAGCTACTGGCCGATCATCGCTGCCGCATCGTGGCCGCCACGATTGGTCGCCCCGACCTGCTCACGGCGCCAGGCTTCCGCGCGCTGGTGCCAGGCGGGCCAGGCGGCGCGCCCGCCGCTGCGGGAGGCGCGGCGGCTGGGCCTGCGGCGGCTGCTGGGCCTCGCCCGGGGGTGCTGCAGGGCGTGGCGCCTCAGGCGGCCGCGGCGGACGCTGGCACGCGCTGGCGGGCGGCTCAGTCTCTCGGGGACGTGCGGTACGGCGACGAGGTGCCAGGGCACGTGGCGACGGCAGCTGCGGTGCGCGGGCGCGACCTCCACATTCTCGCTGACGGGGCCGCCCTGTTCGTCGAGGAGGTGCCGGCGGCGGAGTTGGAGGTCTTCATGGGGCGCGCTGTGGCAGCAGACGCTCGCGTGATGCCCGTGATGCGTACGGGAGCCCGCCGCAAAGTGACGTGGGCGGTCATGGCTGCGCGCGTTCGTGAGGAGGACTTCGGGCGCGACTGGCTGGTGACGGGCCCGCGGACGACGTTCTGGTGCATCGAGTTCATCAACAATGAGGGGATGGGCATCGACGGCCATCACGATAGGTTTCGGGCGGTGGCGAAGCTCGAGCCGACGCAGTGGGGCGTGCAAGAGCACTTCCACTGCACGCAGTACATCCGCCTGCTGTTGCTCTCAGACAAGTGCGACGGCACGAACTTGCAGGCTTGCGAGGCCATCTTCCGCCGCGTGCAGACTATCGAGTAGTCGTACCTGGAGAAGGTGAGGGGGCGTGAAGGGGCCAATCAGAGCGGGAAGTTGTCGATCGAGGAGCAGACGCACTTCGCGGGCTCGACTCGGATCTCTTCTAGCTTGATGGTGTGCCCCGACTTGTTGGAGTTTGTACGCAAAGAAGTAGAGCGTGAAGCTGCCCTGGCAAAGAACCTCCGTAATGCTCGTGAAGAGAAGGAGGCTCTCAAGAAGGGCAAGAAGGACGGACAAGGTTGAGGGGGCATGGAGCGCCCCCTTCGTGGCCCCCGGTTGCCAGGCGACCGGAGGGCGCCTTCGCATGGTCAATTCGAACGCTCTTCCCTTGGTCGTGATGAGCCCGCACGTCTGGTTGCTCGCAATCCTCTTCCTCTGCCAGTACCGCCAGTCTCATCTGTATGTGCTGACAGTGGTGGATTTTTGTCGCGAGGTTGCCGTCAGCGGGTTCAGCAGCGTCACGCTCGCGATCTCGACGTTCGGAGGGCGGTTGTCGCCCTTAATTCACTGCATCGCTCTCCTGACGTTGTGCCGGGCGGAGAGGGTCAACTCAGTGGTGGTCCTCTGTCGCTGATGCAGCAACGCATCATGGAGCACGTGCGCGACTCAGTTGGAGCGCTGGGGGCTCCGCCGGCAGGCGTCGACACCTCGGAAGCTCTGCGGAGGCTTCGAGCGCCTGGCTTCTACGGCTCCGACGGACGTGAAGCTGGGGAACTACAATCCCGATCTGCTCTCGCTGCCGTCCGTGGGGAGCCATGCGGCTCCGCTCGCGGACTTGTGGGGCGCAGGCGGGCGCAGGCGCGTCGCGGAGTTCGTCCGCGATAGTGTGCTACCCGCGGGACCGGCGCTGGAGAGGAGGAAGATGTGCGGCGTGAGGGCGCCCTATTCCGACCCAGCTCTTCGCCAACCGCGTGTGTGGGGCGATTTTGTCTCGCGGCTTCGTCGCAGCGGCCTGCTAGATTTTGCCCTGCGACCGCGGCAGAGAGTCCGTGGAGTTCTTCTGCGTTCCGAAAAAGGATCAGCGATTGAGACTCGTTTGCGATTGCCGTCGCAGCAACGTCTGGTTTCGCGAGCCTGATAATGTCACTCTTTGCACTGGTGAGACTCTTGGGAACCTCGAAGTCGGTGAAGGCGAGGCGCTCTATATTTCGGAAGCTCACCTGTCCAATGCATTCTACCATTTGCAGCTGCCTGTCGAGTTGCGGGATCCGTTCACCCTCAGGCGCGTCCGTGCTCGTGATATCGGCTTGACTGAGATTGGCGGGAAACCAGTGCACGACGGGGCGTGGGTATGCCCAGGACTGCGCGTGTGCCCCATGGGGTGGACTTGGGCATTGTGGTGGTGTCAACGTGTGCATGAGAGATTGGTCGAGCGGTGTGGAGGACAACCCGAAGAGAGGTTACAGGATCGTCGTGTCATTCCCTCTCTTGCGGGGGCCTGCCATCTCGAGTATGTCGACAACTTCGTGGCCATTTCGACTGTCGCCTCCAAGGTGCATCGCCTCGCGTCCGCCGTCGTGGAGGGGTTCAGGGAGGCGGGGTTGGTCGTGACCGCCGATGTCGACTCGCCCGGAGAGGATCTCGCTCGGGACCGCACCGTCTTGGGATGGGATATCAGCTGTCGTGCCGCTGTCCTGAGGCCCACCCGGGCCCGTGTCTGGAGGGCCCGCTTGTGTGTCCGTGCCGTGCTTCGTCGTGGCCGCGTCTCTGGGAAGGTCCTCGAGAGGCTTGTGGGGCACATGGGGTTCATCAGCCTGGTCCGACGGGAAAGCCTCTCGGTCTTCGACACGCTGTTCGCGTTCATCCGCCGCTTCTACTACGAGGAGGCCCCGCTGTGGCCCAGCGTCATCAACGAGCTCACGATCTGGGAGGGGATCGCGCCGCTGCTGTGGCGCAACCTGAAGGCCTCGTGGGGGCCGTCGCTGTGCGCCGTCGACGCGTCCCCGACCGGTCTGGGAGTCTGCTCGTCGCCGATCTCAGTCGAGGAGGCCCGGGGGCTTGGGAGACATTGCGAGCGGTGGCGTTTCTCTCGGGGTGCGCGTCTTCTTCCGCGTCTTCAGGCTGCCGCCGCTGCCGCCGTGTCCGACGACCCCGAGGTGCAGTGGCTGTCCGGAGTGCACGACAACGGGTCTGGAGGTCTGGGATGTTGATGGGGGGCCGCCGCCTGCTGGCAGTGCCGCCGCCGTTCTGGGTTCCGGGCTCGGCGATTCTCGTGACACCGTGTTTCGTGAGGTGCCCCTGGAGCTCTTACGACGTGACTGGAAGATTGTCGGGAGGTACAAGTGGAACGTTGAGGGGCCGATGCCTATCCTTGAGGGCCGGGCTATCTTGTATGCACTCCGACACGCCCTGAGGAATGTTCAGAACTTCGGGCGGCGGATCGCGGTCCTGGGGGGCGCCCTCGTCGCTGCCTGCGCAGTCTCGAAGGGGCGGTCTGATTCCAGGGCGATGCTCAAGGTCACCCAGTCCGTTGCTGCTCTCTGTCTGGTCACTGGGTGCGTGTTGCACTGCCGGTGGCTCCCCTCAGAGTGGAACGTGGCTGACGGGCCCTCGAGAGGGCTTGCAGTTCCCTCAGTGCCGCAGCCGCTGTCCCTCTCGAAGCCTCACGAGCTGGAGTGGCTTCGCTCGGCTGGGCAGCCCGCGCCCGCCCCGCGGCCCCGCCCCGCGGCAGGAGGCGATGCTGCTGCGAGCGTCGCCGTCGACCGGCTCTCAGCCGACTGGGTCGGCTTCGCGGCCCTCGGCGAGGAGCAGCCTGACGCGGGCGCCAGCCGCTTCGAGCCCGTCTTCATCGGCGGCGTTTCCTTCGCGGGCCGCTCCCAGCAGCGCGCCAGCGGCTGTGCCCCGCCGGGCGCCGCGGGCGCCGGCACGAGCACCAGCGCGGCGCGCCGGGCAGGCCCGCGTGAAGGAGGCGGCGAGGCGGCGGGCGGCCGCGACCGCGGCCGAGGGGCTGACCGTCTGCCAGACTCACTCGGTTCGCCCCGCTACGTTGCGGCTGTACCAAGACGACTTTGCCTCGTTCAAGCGCTGGCTGAATCGCCAGGGCCGCCCGATGCCCGAGGGCGAGCTGGACGCCGACCAGACCCTCTCCCAGTACCTGGACGAGATGTACCTCGACGGCGCGCACGTCAGCTTGGGGCAGCGGATGCTCGCCGCTGTGCTGTTCCTCCAGTCGGCCCTGAGCAAGGCGGGCGGCGCGCGGATGGCGCGCAGCCGCCGCGCGCTCAAGGGCTGGCAGCGGCTGGCGCCTGCAGGCTCGAGGCTCGGGGTGCCGTGCGAGGTGATGTGCATGATCGTGATGTGGATGTGGCTGCACGGCCTGTGGGAGGAGGGGCTTGTGACCTGGCTGACGTTCGAGATGTACTATCGCCCGAACGAGCCGTTCACCCTCCGCGCGCGGGACCTCGTGCCCCCGGTGGCGGGCTCGCGGGCCGGCGGCAGCTGGTCGCTGACGCTGCGTGCCCGCGAGCACGGGGTGGCGTCAAATACCCAGGAGTTCGACCAGGCGCAGCTCCTGGACCTGGACCGGCAGGCGGCTCTCGGCCCGGCGCTCGGCGCCATGCTGGAGGCGCGGTTCGGACCGCAGTGGCGCCAGGCGGTGCTGAAGCGGCCTCCGGGGGCTGCTGCCGCCCCGCCCCTGTTCGCGATCAGCAGCACCCAGGCGGGGCAGGCGTTCGACAGGGCGGTGCAGGCGCTGGGGCTTCGGCGCGTGGGCGTGGTCTGCCGCTACCAGCTGCGCCACGGCGGCGCAAGCCACGACGCGGCGACCGGCGCGAGGGCGCTGGATCAGATCCGCCATCGCGGCCGCTGGCGCGCCCACAGCAGCCTCCGCCGCTACGAGAAAAGGGCGAGGCTCGGCGAGGTGCTCGAGCGCCTGACCACCCCGCTCCGTGCCCACGCGCTGCGCTGCGCCGACTTGCTCGCCGACGTTGCGGCCGGGCGACGCCAGCCTTGCGCGAGCCCCTGAGGGTCCCCGTCTTCGTGGAGATCTTCTCTGGCTCAGGCAGGCTGGGGCGTGCTGCTGCGCGTGAAGGGCTGCAGGTGCTCTGGTGGGGCATCTCGTTCGGCGACGCCTATGACCTGGCGCTTGGCAAGAATCAGAATCTGCTGATGGGCTGGCTCGCTGGAGGCCTCATCATCGGGTTTCACGTCGCGCTGCCATGCCAGACCTACTCCCGCATTCGCGATCGTGGAGGCGGGCCGCCGCCGCTGAGGAGTGACGCCTGGCCGTGGGGGCTTCCGAACCTCTCGGCCGCCTTGCAGCGCAAAGTGACGCTTGCCAATGATCTCACTCGCTTCGCATGCCGCTTGTGTCGTGAGGCCATCCTTCGTCGGATCCCCTGGTCTTTGGAGAATCCGCGAACCTCGCGCCTGTGGCTGTGTAATTCAATCGTTGCCCTTACGAAACGGAAGAATGTCAGTAGTTTGTACACGGATTTCTGCATGTGGGCGGGACCTTTTAAAAAGTCCACCACCTTTGTATCGTACCTCGTCGATCTCTCTGGGCTCGCCACTCGCAGGTGCCTCGGTAGCCGCAGAATGTGTGCCCGCACTGGTGAGCCGCACCAGCAGTTGGTCGGCAAGCGTCAGGGCGGTGTGTTTTGGACTAAAGTTGCCGAACCATATCCAGCCCCGCTTTGCAGTTTCATCGCCAAATGGTTCTGGGTCATAATTGCTGCGCGAACCGCTCAGAAATTTGACAGGTTCCTGTCTGTTGCTTAAGTCCCGGCGGAGCCAGTTGGCACTCGTGCAAGTATGGCATTTTCTAGCTTGACGGTGCTGTCTTGGCAGTGCGTGTGGCCGAAGCCACACTCTGGTGCGGAAGGTATTGTGACTCGTTGCTTGCCTGCCCACTCGCTCCGGTCGGTGGCGCCACTGTATGTAAAAACACATCGTCGTCTGGCCTCGAACGGAAGCCTGAGCAATTGCAGTTATACTAACGCGTTTTGCGGAGCATGAGTGGGTCGGGCCGCCTTAACCGTTTGGGCTCAAGGCGCCCACCACGCCCGCCCATTTTTAGCCTTGAGCAGTGCGTGTGGCCGAAGCCACACTCTGGTGCGGAAGGTATTGTGACTCGTTGCTTGCCTGCCCACTCGCTCCGGTCGGTGGCGCCACTGTATGTAAAAACACATCGTCGTCTGGCCTCGAACGGAAGCCTGAGCAATTAATGATGTTCGTTACGCAGGAAGATGGTTATGAAGAACTCGCCGCAGAACTGGTTAGCAGATGGTGGAGGAACGGTGGGAGGCTTATCTTCGTTGCTCTTCCGGTTCTCGTGTTTACCTCTTGCTGGCAGTTCATGATGGCTGTCGCGATGTACTTCGAGGGCATGTTTGATCATATGGATGTCCAGTTCGATTATGGGTGCATGAAGAGTTGGTTGACGCTGCCCATAGTTTCATTCCAGGCATTCTTTACCATACACAAGACTTTCCTCTCAGCGGGATGGAATGAGCACGATTACGAGAGCTGTCAGGGGACCAGGATGATTACTTCTCCTCTTGAAATGCAGCAGACCCAGTTTCAACTTGGAACAACATAATGCTGCAATCGCTATCTGCATACACATGCGTGTATATATATATATATCCCCGTTATCTATATTTATATATATCATAGTATAACAGCATGGCATGCCATAGCTGGCCGATAGCCGCCCAATCTGGGTGGTCCCAATCCAAGTCCAGCATCGCACTTTACTTCAGCGCAGGCTTCGAAGCCATGGCCATTGTCCCCCTCAGCTTGCAAACTTACTGTGGGAGGGGGGCGTGCAAGTGTTGTCGGATTGGATCGGGATCAAATTACTAGAGAAGGAGGTGGAGGAAATGGTGGAGGGCGAAGCACAAGCGTTTGGATGAGCACAAGCTTCTGGAGGTCGCG